CAGAGAAGCTTCGGGCAAGTCGCAGGTCGACCCTTTTTCTTCGTGTGAAAGAAGGGCTCCGGTTACCTAACAGGCGGTTGGTGCTTCAGCTTTGGCCGAGGTCCAATGAAAATCCGGCGGTGGAGTGTTTCGACGGACTGGGTGCTCTTCCCCCTTTTTTTCTTCTGAGCCCAGCGGGCTCATGCACTATGCACTTGAAATGCTTGAAGGAACCAACATGAACACAACGGTAATCGAGAAAAGAACAATCCTACCCTATGAAGCGACAGGCAAACGATGAAAAAGAGAATGAAGGGAGTTGCTAGACTCCAAAGAAAACTAACTCACCTTTGAAGATGCTCACGAAAAGGAACCAACCATTGTGTATGGACAATAGGGGGAGCGACACACACGGTCCTGAGAGATAATGTGAGTCATGGGTAGGATGTTCTGGATGCACCTTGGGAAAGACACTTGTACTATGTGTGTCCCACTTGGGACTTGTGATCTGCATGAATGAGAATTGAGTGTCCCGCATTTCGGAAGGAAAGGATGAATTTGAACCAGCAAGGGCGGGTTGCGAAAAGTCGTCTCTGTCAAAGTGTTGACATGTCTCATGTGTGGGAGGTTGGGCCACTAGGCTGTTAGGCAGGAGTTGGTCTCGCCGGTTGATTAGTAGGACTCCGGGAGTGTAGCACTCCCTCCCGGGCGGACCAAGCATGGCTTGGCACCTTGCCCAGGCGGGATGCGAAACGTCTTCTCAGGCAGGGTGACTGCTTGACGGTAGACGGAGTAGTACCACTGACGATCCAACACTGTAACCTGAAAAACGGCCGCGTTGATCCACCTGCCGACGTCACCCCCGCTCACTCGATAATACTCAAATAGCGGGGGATAAGTTGGGCATATCTAGCGAGGGATTATGAAGAACAAAAATTTGTTTAATCGATGACGGGGGATAAATAGATAATTTTAGCTAAAATTCATCAAAAACAGAATCTGCTAAAATTTTGTTAAATAATAAAATAATCATTTGTCTTTTTCCTTTTTATTATTTTTAATTATTTTTTTATTTTTTATTTTTGTATTAAATTTAATAAAATTTGAGGCCTCACTTCCCATCGATTGGTCAGCGCAAAAAGTACCTCGCGAAGAGTTACTATCATACCCTCGCCCCACAACCGCCAGACTTAGAGATAGCCCCTGAACAGACGAAATAGGCAGGCGTGGTAAAGGCGACTGTTCAGCTTATTAAATTCAAGGGTTGGTTCCTGCAGTTTGTGCATGAGATTTTAGAGTGCCTCTGAGGACCCCTAATGTTTCCTGGCGACCTTGACAAGAGCACCCGACAATTCTTGACCGATTGTTCAGTTGAGGGACAAATTCCTTGTATGTCGGGTGACCGGCCGGTCTCTTGGCCGCCCGACAGTAAGCTCGGACCTCTTCTCGACGTCCTCGTCGAGATTGTGTCATATCCGTCAGAGGAAACGTACTACTTTCAAAGTAAGCGCCCGTATGTGCCGCCCATGTCGGCGGTTAACTGCTTTACGTTCAGGTTTGTTGGGGATCTTGGGACTGAGAAGATGCTTTCCGCCCGTCGTATGTCTCGGTCGCTTAGGTATAGGCGAAGGAGTGTTTCTCTGCCTCTTTCTTTTCATAGATTGAAGTGATTTCAACACACTACTCTGCCGGACGAGGACCCTTCGTTTTGGCCTCCTGAGTACGAAAAACCGTTTCTTTTTCTTCCCTGGCGTCAAACCCTTCATCTTTCGGGTCTCTACTCTTTTCCTTTTCTTTGAACTTTCCCCTATCTCAAGCCGTCTCAATGGTGGCTCATCCGTCACCTTGGCCTTCACCTTCCCTTTGGGATCTAACAATGTTGGCGTGGGGGTCGGAGGTCTCCTTGGCCTAAACAACTTCAGTCTAGCCTCAGCCACAGGATCTCTCCACTTAGATCCATCCAATTCGGCTACCGTGCATGCCCCGAAGTTGAGCGCTTCGACCACGTGATAGGGTCCCATCCATCTATTTGCCAACTTCCCTGACCATGTCCTTTTCAAAGGTGCGTCGTAGAGAAGCACCATATCGCCTACACCTATCATGTCCTTCCTAATCCTGATATTTTTATCCCATCTCTCTTTCCCTTTCCCTCTCTTCACAGCCAGTCGATTCGCTGCCGTCATAAGGTTATCTTTTAATCTGTAGGCCATTTGTCTCGTTCGGGCTGCTAGAAGGTCCTCTCGCGACATGTTGTCCGCCCATTCGACGGTAATCCAACTGTCAATGTGGAACTCTATATGGGAAGAGGGCAGTGTCTCCCAAACCATAAGGTATAGGGAGGATATCCCGTACTAGCCCGGACCTTGACATTGTCTGCCCCAATCACATACCGAAAGTATCGTGGTCGGTCGCTACCTTTCCCTCTACACCACTTTGATAGCGACGCTATCAGGGATTGATGTCCTCATTCTACAAGTGAATTGAACTGATGATGATAGGAAGTGGCTATAGAGACTCTGGCTCCTGCCCTCTTGAATATATTCTGAACTTTGTCTGCCAGGAATTCAGCGCCTCTATCCATCACGATCTTGCTAATACAACCGTATATGGATAGGTACTCCAGGATAAAGTTTTCACTTCTTTAGCCGACTTTTGTTTTTATGGGTTTACCGTCCACAAACCCAATGGAAGCATTCCTAATGTTCACTACATAGTTCACGCCCTTTGGCATCTTGACTAGATCAATGTGTACCTTCTCCCCTGGCCTAGTAGGGTAGGATGGGTGAAGGGGCTCCTTGTATTTTACAAGAGCCCTCTTCTGGCACTCCTCATAAGTCATGGAGTACCTCTCAACATCCTTGTACAGACCTTCCTACTAGTATAACCTATGTACCTTCTCATATGTGCCTCTTACTCCTCTATGTCCACCAACTACTTCGTCATGGAGTTCTGCTACTATAGATTGTTTTTCTTCAGGATCATAGACTACTCGTAGAGGCATACCTGATCCCATGAGCCTGCAAAACAGATGCTCCGATCTAAGGCAGAACTGAGCTGCCTGTCTCCTGATCTTCGGATCTAGAATCTTTTCACCTGACAGATGCAATCCAATCGCCCGGTACTTCCTTTCGTAAAGGTTAACCAGAAATTGATCCGCTCGCTTCGGCTCAGTCATGGTCAGCGCTGCCGCAACTATCGGTCGCTCCGAGTCAATTGGAATCCGGGACAGCCCGTCTGTGACTACATTCTTAGTTCCAAAAATCCTCTCGATTGTATAGTCAAAGACTCAGATCCTAATTAGTCATCGTGCAATAGTGGGATCTGTCAGACTGAAACCTTTTTGTAAAACCGAAGCAACAGCCATAAGATCTACTCGTAAGATGAATCGTCGCCCATATTTGTAGTGCATGAATGCGTCTAAGCATCGCAGAACGGCTAACACCTCCTTCTTAAATTGGCTGTATTTACGCTCCGCAGTGTTAAGCGTCCGACTCTTGAACCTTAGTGGTCTCTCTTTTCCTTTACCGTCTTTCTGGAAAACAATCCTTCGACTGAACATGACCCAACATTTATAGATACTATGAAAGGCCTGTTTGTCTTATGCTCGAAGAATGGTACGCCTAGGATATGTTCTCCTTTCTTAAACTCCTTGAGAGTTAGCATGACGACTTTTTTAGGAGAATCTCAGTAAAACCGTTCAGTCTTTTGGAGGAGGATTCTCAGTGGCTCTGCCTTCTCCGCGTATCCACGTATAAAGATCTGCCAATATCCTACGACTCCCAAGAATTGACGAACTTCGGTGGCGCTATGCAGCGGTGATGGTCAGTTCAAGAGTTTGTCTAACTTTGTCTGATCAACTTGCCGCCTTCTCGCGTCACAAATAAATCCTAGAATCTTAATCGAAGAAACTGCCCACCGACTCTTTGTTCGACTGACCATTAGATTAACGTCATCTAGCTAATCTAGAATCGCGTAAATATCTGTGAAGTGTTGTCCACGAACCTCCTGATGTCAGGAACGACCTTCGTCTAATCCTTCTTCACCGGTCCTTTAATCGAGAAATCGTCTAGAAATACGTTTGCCTTGTCGGGAATAAAGTCTTTTCAAGACAACTACCATAGCTTTCTGGAATACCGCAACTCCGATGGTCCATCCCATAGGTATCACCATCATCTGGACTAATCTCAGCGGCGTGTGCATGGTAGTGAGATGTCTATCTCTAGGCTCTAGCGGTATCTCGTCATAACGAGAAAGTAAATCACAGACATAGTATATTAATCTGCCTGCCACTCCCACCGCCAACAAATCTGCGTGGGGAATGGATCCGACATCGCGGATGGTGACAACATTCACCTTCTGAAGATCTTGAATCCACCAGATTTTTCTGTTTTGTTTCCGCAAGAAGAACCACCTATTCGCGTAGGCGCTCTCTGATGGCTCCGCTACATGAGAGGTCATCTTCTCTGTCGGAAAGGTAATCACCTCCTTTTTTCCTTCTGAGCGGATTTCCACTCTGCATCATTTCACGGGGTGTGCGGAATTGTATAGATCCTAGCAGTTAGCGTACCTAGGATCAATCCTCCCTCTTTTCGCATCGCTTAAGGCTATAACTTTATCGCAAGTCTTAAAAACTTCCAGCACACTTTTTTTCTTGTTCAGTCAGATTTCCATCTCCTATGTCCATCTCTGTTATCCTTTCCTCTGTTAAGCATTGCGACTGTCTCTTCTTCTTTTCTTTAATTTTCCTTGCGATCTCTTCCTCAGATATTCCCTTAAGAATCGATCGCTTTCTGGCCACAGCTGTCGGTTTTCCTTTCTATGCTACTCTCTTGTGTTTCTTCAGTTGCATCCCGTAGGGGGCTGTGCCCTTAAAAAAGGCACAAAAAATCGTCCCTCTGAACTTTTTATCCTCGGTCTTTGGATAAGAGTTTTCTTCCATGACCACACGTTTCCCTAGGTCTTTGACTTCAATTATATCCCCTTCTTCCTCCGTAACCTCAGTGTGCGACTAGCGAAAGAAGACGGCTTGCGTGCTCCAGGTACACCAGTAACCGCTAGGGCCGCCCTGTTCCTCGGATCACGAGGCTCTACAATCTCTATCATAATCTAGCCCCCATCAGGACACTTAATGAACGACATCTGGCTCCCGTCCGATCGTTCTATCGTGACGACATGAACATGGCTCAACCATGTCCGCCATGGGAGTACCTCCGAGCTACAATCCTTAACTGCGAAGATAGGCATCAGTGTGCTCAACCCTTCGACCTCGATGGCTGCCTTGTGACAGACTCCGAAAATCTTCTGTTTCCTCCCGTCGGATGTCTCTGTCTCAAATAGGAAGGACCTATCTAGATCCAACCCTAACGGCACGACGAGCTCCTCATCTATAATGATGGCTTCACTGGCATTATTGCTAACTCCTTGCAGAACTATCTCGTCGTTGAGAATAGTTTCAACTATCCCGTTTCCAAAGATGTAAAACTTGTCAGGAGGTAACTCCTCTATACCATCAAGGTATACTGTTGCCGCGCGCTCAGCTTTCACGCTCACTCCCGATACCGCCACAGTAGTCACCTCTGGCTTAGAAGCCGTCTGGACTTCATCTCCCAGAGGAATGCGGGTCTTTTGCGTGATCATCTGGAGTTCGTTCCGTGCCGGCCTAGAAGCGGTCAGGTACTCGAGTATCGAGCACTGTATAGGTTTCCTAAGCGCGCGTCTAAGAGACTCCATCGTATCGATATCGTCTAAAGAGCTCTTCATCGCAAACTTCCTTGCTCCGCGCTTCTGCGTCGAAAGTATGACCTCCTCTCCTTCAATCCTTTGTCCATCCTTTTCTGCCATCACATAATCTGTATCAGTATTTTTCGACGAAGAGCCCCTAGCAGACTTCGTCACCGCAACTCGTATAGACGTGGTGGGCGACTCGTCTTCAAAAGATAACGTCATCCTGACACTCTGGCTCTTCACTGCCTCTTTTCCTTTACTAGGTTGCATTCACCTTGCTTCAACGTTTTCCTTCATCGAGGGAAATATCGAAACATCGCCCAAATCGTCCGTCGATTTGATGTACTTGCGATCGTCGGGTACAACAAGATCCTCATCTATAGCTCGCCTGAGATTTGGGTAGTCTCTCTTCACGTGATCATCCGCCCTGCAATAAATGCAGAATTTCCTAGGAGTAGGAGGTCTGTCCTCTACTCCTCTAGTCGTCGGTCCCCTCGTAGCTCTGGCGTCTTGATTTGAAGATCCAAGTGATTTAGGATAGCTTGGGGATTTGGGGTAACTGGGTGAACTAGGATACCCTCCTTGCTTGCAGCGTCCGCGAGAGTCATCCCGATGATCTCCTCCGCGTTCCATCCTCTCGTAGCCACCACGGTAACCATCCCGACGGTCTCCTTCTGAATCCCACCGACCACGGGAGTCATCCTGATCTCTCCGATTGAGTTTTGTGCTCGTCCGCAATCCGACCGTATTTGGGGCTACGGGGATATTGCTTCAGCCGGCCACCTCTCTTGAAGGCATCGACCTCGCGGTACCTGCCTCCACGACGATCCCTATCGATCTCATCATCCCTATGCCGCCACGGGTCGTCGTCCGTCTCTCTCACACGGTAATCGACAAGTGTGCGAGGATTTCTATCCTCGATGCTCGTCCAGGGGTCGGTATTCCTGCGATCCCATCGTAGCGAATAAGGGGACCAGGACTGGTCCCTGTAGGTTGTTGCCCCTGTCCGTGTCTCGATATTGGTCACCTGCCTGGCTAAAACTTTCATCATCTCTCGTACCTCCCTCATCTTGTCTATCACCGTCTCTCTATTTCGAGGTCGCTGCAATCGAACCTCGTCTAGCAAATATCGTCAGTCAGCCCAAGGCTGATCATTGAAATCAGGGCATCTCTCCGTGTAGTACTCTCGATAAAGGAGAAATCCCTCCGTCTAATTCCTCTTCAAACTAAGTCCTTATAGTCGTTTGTCTCGGCTTTCATGGCTAGTTTGAAAACCCCGGCGAAATCTATCTTGTCATGAGGAAGTTCCCTGAGTATTCCCTTTTGTTTTCCTCTGGGCAGTCGACTGATGAAAATCGTACATCGGTCGACTTCCGACAACTTCCCTTTTGCGATCAAGGCATCTTATATCTTTTGGAACCGCTTACCGAATGCTTGTACGCTCTCATCCTCACCCTGAGTCATCGTCTCCAGATCCTTAATCGAGTACCAGATGGCCTCTAGCTTGAAGAGCTCATAAAGACTAGCCTTATAAGTAGGTCATTTCCTGTCCTTTGGTCGTGTGCTTCTTTGATTACCTGGCTCAAACTCAAGTCTGTGTTAAGCAAAAAGTTGTCTATAATCTCGTCCTCCGACCACTGGCTGTGGTATGCGTACAACTCCGACTTCTCGAGGTACTCTGTGATACCGTAACCTCTAAAATTGGGCGTCCTGGTATCTAACTCCGTGGGTTGGTGTGAGATAATATATCGATCCCTCCTCTCGTAAGGGAGCGTATAGGTCTCGCCTGTCTGCGGATCGTAGATCCGTCGAGGTGGTGTACTCCTCTCTGGAGCCCTATCTTTGTCTCTCTAGGCCTGCTCCCGGGCGTAATGGTCCCTCCAGTCGTCTCTGCGTCTATCTCCTCTGACGTCTCTCTGCTCGTATGTAGGTGAGCGTCGGACGATCATCTCTTGCCGGAAACTAGGAGGTTCTGCCCTATTCTCCATCCGTGTCATCGTTGCACCCCTGTCAGGTTCGACGATGATCGGCCCGCCCATCACCTCGGGCTCTCCATCGTCAACATTCTGCCTGATACGCTCCTTGAGATCTGGCAGAGCACGGTCCGGAGGCGCTCGGTATGCGGTAGCTTGGTGCTCCATAATCGGATGTGTCCCCATTGTGTCCGACTCCATATACTGTGTCTCTACTTCGAGCTCTACGTTCTCTCTGACAATCTGTAGCAAATGTTTGAATCGGCAACCCGAACCTGATGTCTAAATCGGCAGCCCTGACCTATGGTCTAAACCTGCAGCCCGGACCTATATGTAATCTCGGTCGTCTCGATCTCTGAGTATCTAAGACTAGTTCTCGACAACCATCAGAATACCTCTCAACCTGCCACTCTCGTCTCGGACCTCGTGCTCACCCTCTAACCCAAAGACTCCAGTGTCTACGTAGAGTTCCCCTTCATGTCCTTCTACACACGTTGCTCCTCTTCTGATCTCTAATACTCCTGTCTCTGGGCACCTCACCCTCCTACAAATCGCACTCCCTAACGCACATATATCGTCGCGAGCCCAAGTACTCAAAAACCGACGTAGGTCAATCGATACTCTTCGGCCCAGGTCGCACAATTCTTGTTGATCCGCGTTGGCTCCAGCTAGTGAATACTTGCCTCCTCTCGCCATCAAAGTTTCAAAGCTACAACACGAATGCAACTATGGTCTCCCATTTCTCCTTCCGGATTCCCTGACAAGGCGTTGGGGGTTTTGAGAGTCCCTTGAAGGTGGTTATCCGATTGTCCTTGACAAAACTTTTCCCTTGCGATGGCAGTCTATCTTTCTCTCCTTCCACTACTTTTCTCGCTCTCTCCTAACACCGACCGTAAAGAAGATCAATCTCTCTCTCTATAGGCAGGTAAATCCGCACATCATACATATCAATATTGATGAACCAGACGGTCATCACATAGAGACGGATCTCCTCCCATCTGCTGTCCGTATGTCTCAACTTCATACGACACTATCTCTCGTCCCCCTAGAGAACTTAAGGAAGCGCAGACATCTTTTAACTTTGCTTCTGGCGGCCTATTCCCGACAATAAATTTTTCCCTCCTGACTTCTAACTCCTCGTCTGAGATCATTTTCTCTCCTCTCATTTCCTATCAGGTTTCACAACACTTTCCTATGACAATCTCCTTCTCTTACTGTCCTAGCAAAGTTTACGATCGCGTCCCATCCATTTCGCTAAAGTTCCCCACCTGGGATCGGGGGTCTAGGCAGGACGTCGAAAATCATGATATCGTCGCTCGCCTCGACGATCTCTCATAATTTCTCTAATCTCTTCTTCTCTTCCCTCAGCTTCCAAACTGCTATTCTCCAGCACCTCGAGTATGTGCAGAAATCCGCTTTCTCTTTTGGCAGATATATCCTAATGTGGTATATGCCCGAATCAATGTACTCGTACTGTCATAACATAAAACTGATTCGTTTCCCATCCGCTGTCCGCCACCTGGTACCTAACCACTTGGTACGGGAAGATCTCTTTCTTTCCGATCTTACTTAGACTTCGCTCAACTTTCTTACTCTCGTGTTCGCGTGGTCCACTCCATCTCCCAAACTTACACCTTCTTCTTGCTAATTCTTCTTCGGGTAGGCTCATCTCATGTTCAATTTTGGAGACCCTCTAGCATTCGATGACAGTTAACACATCCTCTCTGTCGACGCTTCCAGAACAAAATAGAAGGCTTCAAAATTGTCGTTATCGCAGAAGTCCTCTATGTCTTCTAAGGTCTTTATCATCTCTTTCCAGTATTGATTGTTCGCGTATCATGAGAATCGCTCCGTCTGCTATAACCCTTGCGAACTCTTCTGCTTTCCTAGTTTTTTTTTTTCAGAAGCTTCTCTGTCACTCTCGGGGATTCATTCCAAGAGCGTACGGAAGCACCTTTTTCAAACAACGTCGTACTCGATATGTACTTGACAACACATCCGTTCTCGATTCCTACGTAGAGTGCGGTCTCGCGCGCTTCTCTTAGGGCTCTCCACATGCACTCTGCCTCTTCTATCACCCCCAGTCTTACTATGTGACCCACCTGTATCACCACACAGACCACCGATCCTTCTATCTTCCCTATCACGTATACGGAGTACTTGTCGTCACTATACTGACATGTACTCATCGTTCATCCTGCCGCTGTCTCTTCACTGTTCTTCCCTCCTTTGCCGTTCTTCTCGTCTTCACTGTCCTTTCCTTCTTCCCGCTCCTCATATATAGAGGATTCCCCCCATTCCGACTGTTGGTGGTCTCTCGTTTTCGTGCTCTCGAGAAACTCAAACCTCCACCTTCTGACGATCTCCCTATCTTCCCTAAAGATCCTTTTTTGTTTCTTCGTACTCCTCTCTATTTATATTTCTGCTTCATGTGCTAAATTGTGTTTATCTAGTTTAAATATAAGAGAAACACTTATTAACTGAGTACCTGCATTATTTATGATCTTTTGACCATCTTCATAAGGAGTATAATAGGAAATTTCAACATGAAAGCATCTTTTCATATACAAAGTTTGTAAAGACAAAGAAGACTCTAAATCATTGATCAAATCGATTTTATATTCTTTTGCTGGTCTAGCAAAACCTAAAACTCCAGCAACACCCATCATATGAAAAGGATTTAAGGTGCAATTATGGAAACCTTGAAAAAAAAGAATAAATCGAAAAATAGTTGCAACTCCAAAACTAGGCGCAAAAAAACAACCAGATTGACCTAGGGGATAAATTAAAAAGACTGAAACAAAAACAGAAATAGGGCCAAAGAATGCACTGATCTAGCAAGTTCGAACTGACGGAGCATAAAACCAATTAAAACAAAAGCACCATGAAGAGCAATAAAAGTCCAAAGACCTCCTAATTGACACCAACGAGTGCATTTATAATTCATAAAAAAGATCTATTATACATATAAAGATCGATTAATTTAATATTTATTTAATAATATATATATTAATAGAATAGATGTTCTTTTGATTATACATATATTCTTTTTATTATATATTTTTATTTATAGATATAATTATATAATAGAATTGAATAAAATTGAATTCATTATATACATTATTTTACTGTATATTGATTTATAAGTTTTTGTCTTTTATATACGATATTCAACTCATTAATTTAATAATTTTTTTTCCTTCATTTTTTTTTACAATATTGATATATTATAGAACAAACACTGTTATTTAAATTATACTTTATTTATTACAATTCAATATTTATTTTATATTAATTAATTAATTCAATTTAGAACTATTAATTCTTTATAGGATATTATTTGTATCAATAAACTAATTAGAATAAGTAAAATATCTAT